TTCCAGGTGGCGGCGGAACGCCCAAGCGTGCCCTCAGATGCCTTCTCCGTGACCCACGACTGAGAACTCTGACTTTCAGAGGGACACCTGCTTATTGAACTTAGCCCGGACGTCAAAGGCAGAAAGGGAGGGTAGATGACGGGTCGCCCCAGCATTCCCCCAGGGATCGAGGTGGTGGAGTGAGGAGCGAGTGGCCGGTGGCAGGGGGCGGGGATCACCAAGAAGTCACCCCAGCCGCTGCTGTGCGCTTTGCGTTTCAAGGAGGCACAGTCTCTTTTTGCCATTCGCTTGTCATCGGCAACACTGTACAGTTCACGGGCAAGGAACAGAATGTTTCGCCACAGGGATTATCCTGCCCCCAGGGAGCAGCCCACGGCCTTGGCCTCCTGGATGGCGTTGACTGAGCCAACTGTGGGAAACAAGACTAGTGAGGCCCAGGGCTGCGGGCCAGTGAGTGTGGGTGTCTCAGATGTGAGTGCGACCAGATAGAAGCCTCGGGTGCACCTGGAAGAACCACAGACTCACTCTCTCTTTCCTCTGTTCAGCCAACATTGCCGACCCCGCAGACCGGCTGCTCAAGGGCTCAGCTTCAGAGTTCAGCTCATGGGAAGAAGGGGTGGGGGGAGTGGTGACAAAGGAACAGCAGTCCTTGATCCTGTCCTTGAAATGTCCATAGAGGGGCATGGAGAGGTGTTTTAAGAACTGGAGGTCAGCCGGCGCCACGGCTCACTAGGCTAATCCTCCACCTAGCGGCGCCAGCACACCAGGTTCTAGTCCCGGTCGGGGCGTCGGATTCTGTCCCAGTTGCCCCTCTTCCAGGCCAGCTCTCTGCTGTGGCCCAGGAGTGCAGTGGAGGATGGCCCAAGTGCTTGGGCCCTGCACCCCATGGGAGACCAGGATAAGTACCTGGCTCCTGCCTTCGGATCAGCGCAGTGCGCCAGCCACAGCGTGCCAGCCGCGGCGGCCACTGGAGGGTGAACCAAAAAGGCAAAAGGAAGACCTTTCTCTCTCTCTCTCTCTCACTGTCCACTCTGCCTGTAAAAAGCAAAGCAAAACAAAAGAAAACAAACAAACAAAAAAACTGGAGGTCATGTACACAGCACAGAGAAAATATGAGGGAGTGGGTGATGGTCTGGGAAAACGGGGGGTGCCCTAGCCAGTGTGTGACCTTGGGTCTCCTTAATGTCAGCTTCCCTAAGAAACTCAGCTTCGCTAAGAAATGAGGCCAATGCCATCTGTCCTCTTTGCTTGTGCCTTGGCATCCAATGGAGTAACAGGTGGAGGGGCGTGGAGGTTGGGGCCGGGGGAGAGTTTATCCCTGGTCATTTCCTACTCATTCCCAAGGAATGTTCGCGGCGGAGGTACGTGTCCTCCCTCACCCCAAGCAGACAGTTAAGCACGATGTGACCTTGCTGTGTGTCCCCAGGAAATCCGAAATCCAGCAGTTGCTCTAGCCTCCATCTGAAGAGTCACAGGGAGCCCCATGACACCGCTGGCCTCTGGGGAGGAGGACGGGCAGCTGAGCGACCCACATGGGAGGCTGAGTTGCTTTCCTCTGTAGTATACTCTTTAGAGCCTGTTAGACGTATTGCCATGTTTTTGTAATACATATAACAGACAGAATTCGAATGTGAAAACGATGTCCTGGGGGAAGGGAGGAATGGGGGAGACGGATGAATGGGTACCGAGCTCCCGGCAGACAGGAGTAAGAAGTTCTGGGATTCCAGTGCACAATAGGGTGGCTCCAGCCGGTGATAGTGTGCTGAATAGGCTGCCCTGCCAGGATGAGAAGCTGATTCTGGGCGCGGCAGGTGCAGCTGGCACAGGCTGTACCCTCCACACAGGGCACTGTGTGCTTACTTGCCAATAAACCTGGACAGCCTGAACTCACCAGCCTCAGAAATTGCATCAGCTGCCAGAGCTGCTGATGGGAGGGTGGGAGGGTGGGCGAGGGGTCATGAAGGTGGGTGTAGGGCCACCTCCAGGAGGGTCAGACATGGCTGAGGACAAAGGGAGCAGACGTCAGAGGGACACTGGTAATGGCCACTGCCGCTGGGCCTGGGCCGGAAGTGGAGGGGCCCACCGTGAAGCCAGCCTCTGTCCTTAGCCCCGCTGATGCCAGCCTGAACTTGGTGTAAGCAATGAGCAAATTACTCCCAATGCTCCTAGGAGCCCTCCCACAGACCCAAGTGCTCCCCTGAGTGGCTCCGGTCCCCTCCCCGACAGGCATGGCCCCAGCATGCCCATGCCCCAAACCTGGGAGTCCTGGCCTCCCAGCCTCCCCCACCTTTCCCCAGCTGGCCACGAGAAACATTCCTTTCCGCCCCTCTGCCTCAACTGGATCTCCAGCAACAGGCGAGCCTGGCCAGCACACGCTTGTGGGGCAGGATTAAGGGAGCGTGAGGATGAGCAAAAACCCTGCGGCTGTGACTCCTGATTCTGCCGCGTCCACTCCCCGGGCCTCGGCTTCTCCATCTAGAGCCTGCCAACGGCACGGCACTGTCACCCAGAGCCCCTGAAGCACTACTTAATCCTGAGAGCACGTTGTAAGAGGCAGCTCACACGCAGTATCGTCATTTAGTTACTACCTGCCAAGTCCTTCCTGCTGGGCTGTTGGTAGATGGATGCTGCATACACACTGGTCCTGAGCTGGGGACACCTTGAGGGCCAGCGATTTGCTGTAGGCCCTACCTTGGTCCCCGGCATCAGAAGTAAGAGAGGCCAGCAGGTGGAGGAAGGCCCCACCTCCTGGAGGAAGAAAGCCTGGAGGGTGCCCGGGGCTGTCTGACCTCTCCCTGAAGAGGGAATGGGCTGGCATGGACAGAACTGAGGGTCAGAGCCTGAAGCAGGGCTCAAGTCCTCCATTTTTCCTGGACAGGTTCCCCGGGGGATGGGGAGGGCCCCTGGGTTCCAGTGCAGGAGAGTAGAGTTGACTCAGAAGTCCCCATGGAGGAGCCGGTGTTGCGGTACAGTGGGTGAAGCTGCCACTTGGGGTGCCACATCCCATATCACAGTACGTGGTTTGAGTCCTGGCTACTCTGCTTGTGATCCAGCTTCCTGTTAATGCACCTAAGGTGGCAGCAGATGGTGGCTAAAGTACTTGAGACCTCTCCCACCCCCAACTTCATGGGAAACCCGGATGGAGTTCCAGGTTTCTGGCTTTGGCCTGGCCCTGCCTTAGCTGTCGCAGGCATTTGGGGGGCAAACAAGAAGATGGAAGATCGATTGATCTCTTTCTTCCCCCAACCCCTCTAAATCTGCCCTTCAAATAAATAGTTGTCTAGAAAGAAAGAAAGAAAGAAAGAAAGAAAGAAAGAAAGAAAGACAGACAGACATGCTCAAGGATATCCCAGCCCTAAGACAGCTCGCTTCCAGAACCCTGGTTGCCAGGCTATGCTATCAGAGGAATGGAGCCGGGACCCAGCAGGCTGAGGCAGGGGGTGGCAGTGAATAGATGTGTTTTCCAGGGTGGACGGGTACGAGAGGCCCCAAGTGCTGGGGACAGGCTGAGCTCAGCCACCCCAGGCCTTGCATCAGCTGCAGGGCCAGCTGCCAGGCCTTGGGAATTCAGCAGGAGACTCCCAGGAGCTCCCTGGCCTTGCTTCTGGCTCTCAGGGAGAGGGTGGCAGAGGAGCAGGCAAGCCCAGGGCTCGGCAGCCACGCCATTCCCAGGCCTCCCAGCTGCCTCAGCTCCCAGCTTCAAGAGCCTGCACAGCTGGGGTCCTGGCCCGCACCCAGCCCGCCCAAGGCCTCTTTACTGGAAGCCTTCTGAAAGGCAGAGCCGGCTTCTCCAGGGAGGATCTGGGAAGTGGGGGCCCGAGCAGGGACACTTGTAACGTGGCTTTGGCTTAGGGCTGTTGCATCTGAGACCAGGAGGTGACAGGGGATTCCCAGAAACGACATCTGGTTCTGCTGGTGTTTGGGATCCACAGCTGCCCTGCTGGCGACTCTCCTGTTCCGGATCCTCCGGGGGTGTGCGTTGGGGAGAGGAGTCTGCTCCAAGTGTGTGACCGCAGGAACAGTTCCCCGGGGCCACTCTCTTCCTGCAGCCTCTCCGCAGGGCAGGTTGAGCTCAGAGACTGAGAATCAGGCCGCTCTCACGGTGGCTCGACCTCTGTGGGTCCTCCTCACCCCCAGCCAGTGCTCTCGGGCCAGCCTCCTGCTCCAGGCCCACCAAGAAGAACCCCAAGGAGGGGCTGAGGCAGAGAGCAGGCTGGGGAGCAGGAACCCAGAACCCATGGGGGGCTAGGCCAGTCATCACTTAGGGTTTCTGCCCTCAGCCTGCAAGTCTCTCCCTCAATTCCGGCTGAACTGGTCCATACCCCTCCCCCCATCCAGAGACTGCTCTTGAGGCCTTAACTTTCTTGTCTCTAAGGGAGGAGACAGGATGAGGCGCCCAGGGGCTCCCCAGCTCAGGGAGCCCATGTTATTCTCCGGCCACAACGTCCATCGCTTCCCATGCCCTCTCCTGCCAGCCCTCACCCTGGTGTTTGTTGCCTGCCCTTCTGTCTTTTTTGCTCCCAGGCCCTACAGGAGGCTGGTGCCAATCCACGTCTGATCCCAGGACAAACACCAGGTAAGCTGTGTCAAGCCCACGCCCGCCTTTTATAAGCTCTGTCTCCTGGCTAATCATTTAACCCCGGGTGCCTCACATCTCCCCAGAGGGCTCACAGCGGCCAACCTGGTGGGGCAGAGCACGGAGGGAGGGGGCGGGGAGGCGCAGCCCAGGGACAGTGCTGGGAATACCAGAGTTGGAAGGCCCTCAGGGGACTGCTAAGCCAATCACTGAGCCCCTCTTATCCTATGACCAATCACCGAGCCCCTCTCATCCTACGCCCCAGCAGAATCAAGTACATTAGGCCCTCTGTATCTGTCGGTGCCACAACCATAGGATTGAGAAAATATAAGAAACAAAAATTGCATCTGTAATGAACACGCAAGCTTTCTTTCTTGCTATTATTAACATCAAAAAAAAAAAAAAAAGGAGAGAGAGAAACAACTTGATTTCAAAGGAAGCCCTTTAAATGGAATGATTTTGCTTCTGGAAATGCTCACTTCATCAGTTGTGGGTTTTGGGTTTTTTTTCCTTTTTTTTTCATCATGGTCTACAGGTGGTCTGAGGTCCAATTTGGAAGCCATTGTCCTGGTATCTTTCTGCTCCCACTGGACCCCTCCTCAACAGGTTTTATTTTTAAATTGTTTAAAAAAAGATTTATTTATTTGAAAGTTAGAGTTACACAGAGAGAGGTCTTCCTTCCATTGGTTCACTCCCCAACTGGCCGCAATGGCCAGAGCTGTGCTGATCCGAAGCCAGGAGCCTCCTCCGGGTCTCCCACGTGGGTGCAGGGGCCCACCAGGCCATAGCAGAGAGCTGGGTCAGAATGATGCCGGCGCTTCAGGCCAGGGCTTTAGACCACTGCGCCACAGCGCCAGCCCCCTTATTTTTGAAATTTAAAACTCAACAGGATTTATTTTTAAATTTTTAAAAAGAATTATTTATTTATTTGAGAGGTGGAGTTACAGAGAGAGAGGAAGAGACAGAGAAACAGAGAGAGAGGCCTGCAGTGCCAGGCATCTTCTAATTGGCCACAACCTTGGCGGGAGCTGGACCAATCCAAAGCCAGGAGCTTCTTCCAGGTCTTGGACTTGTGAGTGCAGGGGCCCAAACACTTGGGTCATCTTCCACTGCTTTCCCAGGCCATAAAATGGGAGCTGGATTGGAAGTGGAGCAGCCAGGACTTGAACCCGTGTCCATATAGGATGCAGTGGCGCAAGCAGAGGCTTAGACTACTACACCGCAGAGTCGGCCCCTCTTTTTTTTTTTTAAACAGTTTTCAAAAAAAATAAAGAAAGAAAGAAAGAAACACCCAGGAGATCAAAAGCCTTTTATAGGGTTTTCAAATAAATGAAAAAAAAAATTTTTTTAAATGAAGAGATTGAGATTATGATTAAACAGGAGGTGAGCAACTTAGGCAGAATCAAACTTGAGACCTTCTACCCATGTTTTTGTCCAAAGCCAGCTGCCTCTTCAGAAACCAAAGCCAAAAATGTGCCGGATGGTTGTTTAGACACACTCTGAGGCCCAGCAGGTGCAGCTGTGCCCAGCCACGGCTTCCAAACCCTTCCCAGCTCCACGCCGCCTCGGTTCCCCTCGCCCTACAGGCCTTCCCTGGCCAACGGACCTATCAAAGCCAGCGGCTGTCATGCAGGGGCTTCTTCACCAAATGGCTTCTCTCAGTTCCTTCATGCCCCAGAGGGTAACCTTGCCTAGAATCTTCTAGAATCTGGCCTGTTGGCTGGGAGGAAATGGGGATAGGGTCCTTAAGAGGAACACTAGCATGGTCAGAAAACAAAGAGCATCATCTCTTGCCTGATTGATGGAAATGCCTGCACCCCTAACTGTTCTTGCCTCTGCGTGCCTTTCTGGCCCCTGCAGCATACACAACTACACAACATATACAACACCTTAAAATGCCATCCCCTGGGGACGGTGCTCTGGAGCAGCAGGTTAAAGCCCCAGCCTGCAGTGCCGGCATTCCTTATAAACACCGTTCCAGTCCCGGCTGCTCTTCTTCCAATCCAGCTCTCTGCTATAGCCTGGGATGGCCCAAGTCCTCGGGCCCCTGCACCCATGGTGGGAGACCCGGAAGAAGCATCTGGCTCCTGGCTTCGGATCCGCACAGCCATTTGGGGGGTGAACCAGCAGATGGAAGACCTTGCTCTCTGTCTCTACCTCTCTAATTCTTTCAAATAAGTAAATAAAAATAAATCTTAAAATAAATAAAATGCCATCCCTCCTGCACCACACCCCCGCTCAGAACCTTAAGGACTCCCCATTACCTACACTCCTTAAAGGGACCACCCAAGCTTCTGCAGACCCAGCCCTTCCCCAGCTGTCTCACTACTGCCCTCTACACACACACACACACACCCTTAGGACAACAGCCACTAGCTAAATATGGCTAGTTAAATTTAAATGAATTAAATTATTAACAAACAGTTCAGTTCCTCAGCCGTCCTGGTCACATGGCAAGTGCTCCCTAACCTCTTGCGGCTGGTGGCTACTGTACTGGACAATGCAGAAACAGGTTTCTATCGCCGCACCGCAGAAAGCTCTGTTGGATAGGACGGCTTGTACTTTTAACAAAGGACGTCTTGATAAACGAATGTTACCAGCTTAGAGGAATCCAGGATAGACTTGACCTATTTTGGTGAATCTTTCAACAAAGATTCACCACCCACAGTCCTCTGGGCCGGAATTCACAAAAGTGGGCAGTGGCGGCCGCTGGTCCTAGGAGTGAAAAGGCAGCTGTAAGGGAGTGCCCAACGCGCCTACACCCAAACTGGGGGGCCAGGGGCGGCTCCTGGAACCGGGAGTCTCGATGCTGAGCCTGAGCACCGTTCTGTCTGCCCTGGGGTCCCTAATGATGTATCGGCCCCACCGCCTGGACAGCGCCTCCCCGGGGCGGGTGTGGGGAGGAACTGAGGCTACCTTTTTGAAGTGAGTCCCAGTCGGCCATTACCCCCAGAGCTCTGGCCCTTGCTCTCCCAGCACAGGCGTCACGGTCAGTGAAGACAGGCCTCAAGGCTTTTGTGGCCTCAGAGCAGAAAACTCCCGCAGGGAAGTCCAAGGCCGGTGAGGGGTGCAACAGGTCTCACTGTACCCAGAGCCCTCCAACAGCCACAGCCACTGGTTCCTGCCAGGGGAAGCCGGGGAAGGAGGCAGGAGAGAGGCTACGCCCACCGAGGCCTGGAGGGCGTCAGGACTGCATTAACATGGCCGAGGGAGGGTCTTGGGGGTCTCCCGTCCGCCAGCTTCTACGAGATGGAGACGCTAACTCCCTCCTCGCCCTCCCGGCCCAGCCATCCGGCCCGTCCCCCGCCCCTTCCTGACGCCCGGGCCGGAAGAGACTTCCCTGCGGTGACTTTGACCGTGGCAGCTAATTGACGGGAATTCAGCGCGCGTTTACTTGCGAGCTGGCGGGCAGCCTTCGGCGCCTCCTTCTGTGGCACGCCCCACTTAGCCTCCTTCCGGAGGTCGATTGCGTAGGAGCCGTCAACCTCCCCACATCACGGGATGAGGAAGTGGAGGTCCGGGGAGGGGACCTGCCAGCGCACGAAGCGCGCCCCCGCCCCCGGCCTCGCACTTCGCTCTCACGCGTCCTCCCGGCCCGCTCGCCCTCCCTCCCCAGCTTCCCGGGCTCCGCACCTCCTTGCCCGGCCAGAGCCCGGCATCTGTCGGGAGGCTGAGTGCCCTGGGTCGTGGGGCTGGGCTGGGGTCGGGGCCCTCCGTGCCAGCCCCAGCGTGAGGCCGGCGCGGAGCCGCCCTTTTGTTTCGCGGCCCTCGCGACTTCTGCGGAGTCACGGTCACGTGGCGCTTCCGGCACGGGGTGTTCCGGGCGCCGCGCCAGGGCCGGGGACCCCGCCCGGGACTTGCACAGGCCGCCGGCCTGTCTCAGCCCCCGGCCCAAGCTGGGCCTCCCGGGTCTCCACCGCCCCCTAGCTCGGGCGGCCTCCGGTCTTCGAGCGCCACGTTCAGCCGGCCCTCGCTTTTGATCCCTTACTGGGGCGTCCAGACCCGATTGTCTGCTCGGTCCACTGTCTCCCCCCTTAAGCTAGACTACGCCAGGTGCTCACAGTCAGGCTCATCTCTCCCTCGGGAACACTGGACCGCAAGTGGGCGTTGGACGAGGAGTTAATGGGCTCCATTCTCAGCCTTAAGGCGGTGGTGGCCAGGGTGGCTCTGAGCCTCACGCTTGATGGAACAGGGACATAAGCCTCAGCCGTTTTAGAGTTCTTGTTACCCCCCCACTTCCGTGCCTTCTTTCAGGTCAGTTCCACCCCACCCCCTGCATTCTTCCCCAGGCTGGAAGCAGGTGGGTCAAACCTGAAGAACCAGTATGGAGAAGCCCATCTCTGCCTACTGTCCCCCTACCCCCACCCCTAGCCCACCTAAAATACTAAAGGGCCCAGCCTGCTGGGGCCCAGGCCTCTGCCTTGTGTTCGCTCTGTGAGCCTGATGGCAGTGGGTCGACCTCTGCAGATTTACTTTCTCTGAATAAATTTTGTCTGGCTGCGAGTTCACATTCTGTCTCTTCTCTGTTCTGCACCCTTTGCCTAACATTTTGGTGTTTGAGAAGGCACCAATCTGCCTAACATCTCCCTTCCCCACCAACCCCCACAAAGAAAGCAAACATCTGCCGCCTGGCTTTTGTCCTCTTTGGCACAGACCATCTAAGGGCGGAGGGCCCAATCCAGGCAGAAACGGGACTTGGCGCTTTGTGCTGTGGCCTGGCCTGTTGCAGCTGCATGAGTGGCTGCCAATCAGTCGTCCCTGGCACACTTGAGAACCCCGGAGTCTGCTTCACTCGGATTCAAGGATTGGTTCGACAGATGTTTATTGAAAGTGTACCATGTGCAGAGCACCCCAGCCCCTCCCCCAGGAGAATGTGAAAGGGTACCTTTTACTGTCCCTGAGGCTCAGCTCCCAGGAGCAGGCCGACCTCTCTAGACCCCAGCAGTCAGGGAGGACCCCCTGCCATTCCTGGAGGCCTCTGGGTGGGGGCCTTCAGGACCCTTCCTCTCTCCCAAGGTTTCTCATGCAAGGGCTGGGGAGAGTTGGAGAGAGGGAGACAGGAGACAGGGAGACAGCTCAAGGTGCGACATGGCCAGGAGCAAAGGTGGATGTGTACCTGGCCCTCAGGGCTTGGTGGGGAAGAGCAGGCAAGTGAGCCCCCAGCTGCCACAGTGCCTGTCCACAAGGGGCAGGGGGCGCTGCTGGTAGTGCTGGACCTTGGCCACCACGGAGGAGAAGAGCTGTGCAGGGAGACAGGCTCTGGTGAGCCCCTTAAACCTCATGTGTGAGAAACTTCCTGAGGCAATGGCATGGCTCTGGCCAGGGGGCTTGTGCACATTTGTTTAGATATTGTCCTTCCTGTTTGTCCCATGAAGCCCCAGTTCCAGCTGCCTGATTGCAGTTTTCCTTTAACCGTGCCCATGGGCAGGCACGCTGCTGGCCAGGCTCAGAGTCCAAGGAAACAACTTCAGGCCCCGCTCTGCCCTGGCTCTCTGGTGTGGGCTGACTGCAAATGCTGGGGTGCAATGCTGAGTTAGTAGACAAGAGCCTAGACAACCTGGATCCTGCCCTTCTCCCAGCTGGATTCATTCTAGGTACAAACACCCCCACCCCAACTGTGCAGCCTGAGCCATGGTGGGAGGAGGCCACCTCCCCCAGAGCAAGATGGGCCTCTCCCCAATGTGCCAAAGGTCTCGGGTGGAGTTCAGGGCTGTGGCCTTTGTCATTTTGACCCAGCCCAGGAAAACAAATGGAGTTTTCCCCTAGGCACATGCTTTTGGCTGGGCCCAAGGGGCTGCTCTGCTGGGCCAGGGCATAATGGCTCCTACCATCCAGGCTGCGGATGGGAATGTTGTAGACTGGGCCTCAGAGCACAGCCATGGTGAGGGGCTGGGAGCTGTAGGCCCCATCCTGCTAGGGAGAGCCCAGCTGTCTGGCCTTCAGCCCTGACCATGGGGTAGAGAACCGCCCGGCTGGCCCTCCTGCTCCTGCCAACTCATCCAGTCACGGCCTGGGAGCAGAAGGGATTTTAGAGAAGACCCGGGATCTGTGGCTGCCCACCTTGTGGAAGCAGAGCAGGGCACTCTCAACAGCCTGACGGTCTGAGTTGGTCGAGTACCAAGGCCGCCCCAGCAAGCCGCCATCCGCACCCGCGTGCACACGCACGCGCGCACACACACACACACACACACACACAGCTGCCGAGGGCACTGGGTCTGCCGGGGGAGCAGGAGCAGAGAACCCTGGTCCGCCCACCTCGCCCGAGTCCCATAGCAGAGCAGAGAGGCACAATGGCAGTGCTCCTCGCAGGGGCACCTGCCTCAGCCCGGGAGGGTCCCTGGGCAGGGAAGCTTGGCCTCTGCCCCCAGCTCCTCACCTCAGCAGCTGAGGTGCTGTGGGTGGAGGCTTCAGAGGGAAGAGACAGTCTCCTTCCTGCTGGAAGCAGCGATCCCGGAACGGGCGCTGGGAGGGGTTTTGGCAAAGGAAGTGAGTAGGGGATGGGGGCAGTTGTAGGCCTGAAGCCCAAAGCAGGGCACCTGGTGCTCCCCACCCGGCTAGGCCTCAAGTGACCTCCAAACGAGGAGTGATCTTGGGACACTGACTAGGGGCCTCCTGATTGGGTGCCGATGCTGGAAAATGCCCAAAACGCTCCCCTCGGGCCTGATCACAGCTGGACGTGGGCCCCAGGACTGCCCAGCTCATGCTGAAGGTGCCTGGACTCACCTTTGGAGGTGCTGCCCCCTGCTGCTGCCCCCTGGAACACAAGAGGTCTGGTCACAGCCGGCCTGCTGCCGGGGCTGAAGTCCCACCCTGAGCCCCCTCCTTCCCCCATTTCCAGCTCACTTCTCCCCCGACCACCAGCCTCTTCCATCCCGAGCTTCCTGAGGAGCTGTGGTGGGCTGCAGAGAGCAAACTGGGGAACAGAGCACAGGGGCTTAGCTCCCTCATGAGAAAGGGCCCAGTGAGCCCCGTACCCCAAGCCATCCCCTTCTTGCCACCACTGCCAGCACCCTGGGACAATGCAAGAAGGTCACATCCCAGGGTCTGGGCTGGGGAAGCCTGAGCTGCTCCTCTCTCTCTCTCATATGTGTAAACTGGATTGGGTCACTCCCCTGGGAGCATCAGGCCTAGGGAGCTCAGATCCCAAGTCAAGGCTGAGACTGAAACAGAGAGGGCAGGCTGCGCTCAGCTGGGTGCCGGGTGAGGAAGCCCAGGCGTGCTGAGAACAGCTGCAGAGGCCTGCTGTGAGTCCTTCCAGCTGGAGAGAGACCCCACCCAGGCCATGCTCCAGGGGTCACCTCCCTGGTTGATGCAGCTTAGGTCAGCCTGGACCAAAGGCGGAAGTGTGGCTGTCCACACAGGTGTCCGAAGGCCAATGTGTGACTGTAGGGTGGGGAGAGGAGAAAGGGAAGAAGACGGAGCCAGGAGTGTGTGGCGTTGCGGGCAGCTGACAGTCTCAGGGCCAGGGTGGGTCTGGAGTGGAAGGAGACGCTCACCTGGGCCCGGCTCAAGCCCCAGGTAGAGGTCCTCTTCGGGTTCCTTTGGAGGGCCTGGGCCCTGGGGAGGGGTGTGTGGGGCCATGGGTTTGACCAGCAGTGGGGCTCAGCTTAGGGTAGGGAGGGCTCCAGCAGTGAGGGCAGGACTGAGTAGGGCACTGCCTGCCCACAAGGCACCTCTCTTTCTGGGAGCCAGCGTGGTGACGAAGATGCTCCTCTGTATGAGCGGGGTCCCTTCAGAGGCTCCCGCAGGCCCCAGCTCTCAGCGAATGTGGCTTTCAGGAAGGAACGCTTGGGACAACTGGCTTACGCCTACCAGGGGCCTGTGGCAGACGAGGGGCTGTGCCCTGGGCCTTGTGCCTTGGTTTTAGGGGTATCTCCTTGCCTTAGGGCCCCACCCCGACAACTTCCTAGCCGGAACTCTAAAATGTGCACTGCGGCTGGAAGGGCCACTCCCCACTCTCTGGGAGGAAAGGGAAGGACCAGCCAGTCACGAACAGCAGGGCGGGGGAGGGAGCTCAGCGACACGACACGGAGGCTGCAGAGTGAAGGGTTCTCAGTGTGGCTCTGAGGGGCTCCCTGAGCCGTCTTCATCCGCTGGCCCACCACATGCCTGGCTTGACCTCCCAGCCCATTTGCCAGACTTGCTGCCAGGTGACTTCAGGCTGCTCCAAAATTAAAGTCACCCTCAAGGTCATTCAGGTTTACCAACCACTGGGTAGGAGGCGGCTTCCCTCCCTGGGGCCTCTTGTGTTGGCTCCCTGTCCTGACACAGGGGGAGGTCTCTGCTCAGCCAGGGCAGCGGTGACACGGATGGAACTGGAGACAGGTAGCCCGACGCGGCCCTGCAGGAAGGGTGAGGGCCCTTAGGAAGGACAGAGGCCCCACCAGGGGCAGGACAGGGCAGGGGGGTCAGGGACAGTGCTTCTGGGTGATCGTAAGCACAGTAGTCCATGTTTCCTCATTGGCACTGCCCACCTTAGGGGACTGGCAAGTAGGAGAGGGCCCAGCTGGGGGGATGCAAGGCAGCCTCACCTAGCTCTGCCCCCCTAAGGGGAGGACTCCCCTTTCCAGGGTGGAGAGGAAGGGTGGCCCCCTTACCTTGCTTCCCAACGATGGGCTCCTGTGTCCTGACCACCTGTAGGTTCATGGCTGCCTTCAGCTGTGGACACAGTGGGACCAGTGAGGGAGGTTGGGGGAGGGGAGCTGAGCAGGGGGGAGCACAAGGATAGGGGACAGAGGTGTGGAGGGCCGTGGGCATCTGTGCAGTTTCCAAAACCCACACCACAGCACTCGGGGAGGTGTGCACAAGAGGTGGTGCTGCTTGCCTGGATATTTTTCTTTTATTCCCACATAATGTATGATGAAAGCAGTAGCTTTCAAAGGCCGCAGCCAGGGAATGGAATGGTGGGAATGGAACGGCTGCACAGCGAGGGCTTCTGAGGCCCCAGAGTCCGGGTGAGGGACAGCAGAGCCCGCTCCCGGTGGTGGCGGTGGCACAAGGCCGGCTGAGAGGCCCAGCCAGGCGACGAAGGCTCCACACGCCTGGGAACGGCTCTCCGCTCTCCAGCTCTCCGCTCTCCAAAGCAGACAGGGGCCTTTTGAATGCAAATACGGGCTTGTAGTAAAGTAGACTCTGCTAGGATCTACTCAGCGGGAAAGGCCAGCCTGGGGAGGGAGGGGCTGGTGGGGGGGTGCTCCTCACCACAGGGCCGAGGCAGTGCGGGCTGTGCCTGACTTGGGCCCAGGGGGCCAGAGCGATCTGGAAAAGACCACGTGCGTCGTGGGCTGCTGGGTTCCTCCCCCAGCCTCAGCCTCCATCTCCTCCTCCCTCTCCGGCTCCCCTGCCTTATTGGCTCCCTGACAGCCCCGTCTCCATGGCAACAGGAGGTGGCCAGCTTCCCAGCCCCCACCGGGCACCTCCGCCCTGGCACTCCTGCCCGGCCTGAATTTGTGCTGGGCTCTCAGAGGGGGACCATGTGAGGCCTCCGGCTCTCCCTCTGTTGCCTGGGATACGGCACCTCGCAGGCCCCTCTCCCCTTCCCACACTCCTTCCTCCTTCCTCCCTCCCTCTCTCCCCTCTCCCTTCAGCCCTGTCCCCATGCCCAGCACAGAGGTGGTGGAGGCGCAGGCAGAGGAAGCAGAGGTGAGGCCTATGCTCTCTTCCCTGGTGGGCACCCTCAGGCCCTGCCCAAGCACCCACCCTCCCTCCTTCTCGCTCCCCAGCCCTCACCCAGGTACAAGGAGCCCTCCTCGGTACCAGCAAGGTGGGCAGGGGCCAGACGGAGGGGCAGAGCCTCACATGGCAGCAGCTCATATTTGTCCTCCTCCTCTTCCTCCTGCTGGGCCTCCAAGAAGGGACGCTGAGTACAGGGAGGCTCCAGGACTCCCGGCCCGGCCTCAGCAGCTGGACTTACCCCACACACACACACCCTCCCCCTTTCCAGGCCCCTGGAGCAGCTGAAGAGCTGGGCTGGCGGCATCTTCTTTCCAAGCTGGAGAGTCTGGACAGACAGGCTGGCCTCACCTCCTCCCAGCACGCAGGCCTGACTCTCCCCAGAATAAACCACCATCTGCACTTGACCTTGGGCTTCAGTCCTTCACTCAGAGGCACCCCTCGTGATGGGCACTCGCTACAGGGTAGCAGGCCAGTGAGGTAGGCATTCTGGAAAACAGAAGGCCTCCCAGCTAGCTGCCTGTGCCACCTATGCCAGTCCCTGGCCCCTGCACCCCATGTTGGACCTAGGCAGGTGGAAGAACCAGGCGCTGGTGACTTAGTGGTGCTGGACTCTGGTGAGCAGGAGCTACCTATCCAGAGGTACCTGAGGGAAACCCAGCTCGTAGTGGCCTACCCTGCCACTTGCCGGTGCCTCTTGGGGGTGGGCCCCAACCTGCAAGCAGACTCTAGTCAACTGTGCCCAAGGAACCCCTGAGGTTGTGCAAGCCAGACACTGCACTCCAGGAGCCCTGAGCCATGAGACTACGATTGGGGGCCAGGCGGTGACACAGAGCAGCAGGGCAGCAGCAGGAGGCTGGGAGAGAGCTAGGGCCCAGGAGGGCACAGCTGGACAAGTCGGTGCCCTGAGAAGCCAGGGGTGGGGAGCCCCAGTGCTGCTGAGGCGGGGGTGGGGGGCACTTGAATGCTCTCACTGGGCGGGGAGGCCGGGGCAGAGCCAGCCCAGCTCCTAGGGTGGCCGTGTTCTGCAAAGAAGGGGTGCGGGGTGGAGACCAAAGAGGGGGCGGCAGGATAGAGAGGAGCCCAAGGGCTCACCAGGGCATGATCCTACTGAGCTTGTCCTGTAAAGAGCCAGAAAGGGAGTGGAGGCAAGGGCCAGTGCAACTGGGAGGCCTCTCCCTGCCCACAGTCGTGGGCCCCAGGTTCCAGTCTCACCATGGCAGAGGTAGAGGTGCAGTGCCTCCTTGGGACCTGGATCCGGCATAAACAGCCTGCAGACAGAGACAGCCCCACTGTCCCTGTGATTTGCATCTCTAAGCACCAGGAAGGTGGGTCTACAGCTTCCTATCCCAGATCAGCCTTTCCCTGAACACTCCCAGGGCCTAGCCCCAGCTTTCCTGGAGCCCTCCCCTCACCCCCAGGCCTGCTTCCCCCAGCTATGGTCTCCAGGCTCTGCCTCGGGAAGAGCTAAGCTGGCCCAGGGCTCACAGCTCTATGCTGCCTTTCCCAGTTCACCAACAACAGAAAGTTAACGCACAGATCCGATTAGAAATGGCAGCTGTGGGGTGGCCACCAGGGTACATGGGTTAAGTCACCGCCTGTTGCACTGGCATCCATATGGGTGCATGTTAGAGTCCTGGCTGTTCCACTTCTAATCTAGCTCTCTGCTAACGTGCCTAGGAAAGCGGTGGAAGATGCTGCACCCAAATGTGTGACCCAGATGAAGCTCCTGGCTCAGCCCTGGCTGTTGTGGCCATTTGGGAAGTGAACCAGTGGATGAAAACTCTTTCTCTCCCCCCCACTCTAACTCTGCCTTTCAAATAAATAACTTTTAAAAACAAAGGAAGAAAGAAAAGAACTGGGGGGCATGCAGGCCCATTTCTTTTTCTTTTCTTTTTTTAAAGATTTATTTATTTATTTGAAAATTGGAGTTATAGAGAGTGAGGAAGAGAGGCAGAGAGAGAGGTCTTCCATCTGCTGGTTCACTCCCCAATTGGCTGCAATGGCCAAAGCTGTGCAGATCTGAAGCCAGGAGCCAGGAGCTTCTTCCGGGTGTCCCACATGGGTGCAGGGGCCCAAGGACTTGGGCCACCTTCTACTGCTTTCCTAGGCCATAGCAGAGAGCTGGATCCAAAGTGGAGCAGCCAGGACTCGAACCAGTGCCCATATGGGTTGCCAGCACTGCAGGCAGCAGCTTAACCCACTACACCACAGCACCAGCCCCAGGCCCTTTTCTTAGCCCCTTCACTACAGTTGTCATTTTCTGTGGATCAGAAATTAGTGATCAAGGAAAAGAAGGTTAGCAAAAAGCTAAGAAATGGGCTGTGACATTCAACGTGACAGCTGCCACTTCTGATGGATGAATTTATGCAGTGGGTATTTAGCGAACATCCACTGAAGACGAGACATTGTTCCAGGTGCTGAAGGTGCTATAGCAAAATTAAACTGGCAGGCATTTCACATATATTTCCTCATTGCATTCTCAAAATAACCTGATGATGCAAGTACTGATTTTATCCCTGCTTTTCAAATGAGGAGACCAAGGGTTAGTCAGCGCCAACCACCATGACAGGGAACCAGAAACTGCGGGGCTTACACAACAGAAATTTCACTTTCTAGTAGTCTGAGATGAAGGTGCCACGAGGGTTGGTTGCTCATGCAGCCTCTCTCTGGCTTGTGCACAGCTGCCTTCTCCCTGTGTCCTCACATGACCTTTTGCCTGCAGGCAGACAGCAGCCCTGGGGATGCTTCCTCTTCTGTGAAAGTTTTATTTTCATTGTATTCGAAAGGCAGGTAGAGAAACACACACAAACATCTTCCATCTGCTGGTTCCTTCTCCAAACGCTCACAATAGCCAACAGCCCAGAGCCCAGAACTCAATCTGAATCTCCCATCGGGTGGCAGGGACCCACCCGAGCCATCACCTTCTGCCTCCCAGGTGCGTATTAGCAGAAAGCTGGAATCGCAAGTAGAGCCGCAACTTGAACCCAGATAGTCTGATATGGGATGTGGGCATCCTAACGCTCAGCCAAATGCCCACCCCTCTTCCTCTTCTTACAAAGATACTGGATTAGGGCTCCCTCTCGTGACCCCTTTAACCTTACCACCTCCCCTGAAGCTCTGCCTTCAAGTGCAGCCATATTGGGTGGGTGGAGCTTCCACACACAAGTGGGGAGAGAGGGTGCGGGGACACAGCTCAGTCTCCCAGAGGTTGAGTAACTTTCCCAAGGTCCTGCTAGAGACGACCTTCAGTCTGCGGTGTGCCTGGCCCAGAGCCTGTTTGCTAACCAGGGAACATCCAGCACCTCCTGTAGGGTCGTGTGGACGCTCCTGCTGGGGATAGCATTAGGCTCATCGGGACTCAAGCCTCCTTAAGCAGCTGCCTGTGACTTCCAGAGGCTCCGTCCCTCCAGTGAATTTTAGATGCCTGACTTCTGAGAAGCGCTGGGGGGAAACGAAGGACAAGGGTCCTGGTAACTAACTCTGCTTAACCCAGAGTGCGTATGTGAGGACAACACACCAGGGCCTGTGAGACCATGTAGGGCCCTGGGCCTCTCTCGTGCTTGTGACCTTGTGCTTGTGACCTCTGGCTGCCGGGCCAGAGGCGGCGTGAAGCCCGTGTGTCTGTGTCCTTGGGGGCCACAAGGTTGGGCCACTGCTGGCACAGCCTTAAGAGAAGACCAGCTGGCTCCTGGGACCTGCAGGCAAAGGGACACTTAGGAAGCCCTGAGGAGTCATTGTGCTGGCTTAACAGGGAGCCCAGGCAGCAGAGAGGGAAAAACGAGAGTCAGGGACTGGGCCCAGTCCCCCACCCCACAGCTGCCCTTTCTTCCATGTTCGGTGTGTAAGGCAAGGGGCGACTTCCCTCACCCAGGAGGACCTCCCAGTGGGCCAGAGTGAGAAGGCGGCTCTGGTCACCACCTCACTCCATGACAAATCTGAAAATAAGTTCCCCAGGCCCCACCACTATCTCCTCCCTCTGCTCAGGTCTTTGCATAGGCAAATGCCACAGCTGGGAAAATGCAAGGCCCCAGGCAGCGGATGCACTCCACCTGTGCCATCTGGGCAGGGGCATGGCCTGCACAGACCTGGGGGAGGGGGCCTGCTTCAGTGGCTGTGCCTCCCGCCAGTCACAAAAGTACATTTGGTCATCCTCTTTCCCCATCTTTGGCATCAGATTGGTTTGAATATGCCACAAATATTCCCTCGGGATGAATTCCTAGAAGTACAATTATTAGAAACTCACACTGAGGTCAGTGGTGTAGTGGGCTAAGCCTCTGCCTGCTGCACTGGCATCTCATATGGGTACCAGTTCAAGTCCTGGCTGCTCCACTTTTGATCCAGCTCTCCGCTATGGCCTAAGAAAGCAGTGAAAGATGGCTCAAATGTTTGGGCCCCTGCTTCCACATGGGAGACCCGGAGGAAGCTCCTGGCTCTGGGCTTTGGATTGGCCCAACTCCAGCTGTTGTGTCCAATTGGGGAGTGAACCAGTGGATAGAGGACCTTTTCTCTGTCTCTCCCTCTGGCTGCCTATAACTCTACCTCTCAAATAAATAAATAAAATCTTTTTTTAAAAAAATCACATTTTAAAATATTTATCTGAGAGAGACAGATAGAGATCTCCCATTCACTGGTTCACTCTCCAAATGCTCACAACAGTCAAGACTGGGCTAGTCAGGGGCCTGTAACTCAATCCAGGTCTCTCCACATGGGTGGCAGGGACCCACCCACTAGCGCCATCACTGCTGCTTCCCAGGGTCTGCGTGAGCAGGAAGTTGGAATTAGAACCAGGTCTGAAACCCAGCCATTCCCTCGTAGGAAACAAGTGTTCCGATCAGCATCTTTTTTTAAAAAAAGATTTATTTATTTATTTGAAAGTCAAAGTTACACAGAGACAGAAAGAGAGGCAGAGCGAGAGAGGTCTTCCATGCAATGGTTCACTCCCCAATTGGCCGCAATGGCCGGAGCTGTGCGGATCCGAAGCCAGGAGCCAGGAGCTGTGCGGATCTGAAGCCAGGAGCCAGGAGCCTCTTTTGGGTCTCCCATGCAGTTGCAGAGGCCCAAGCACCTGGGCCATCCTCCACTGCTTTCCCAGGTCATAGCAGAGAGCTGGATCAAAAGTGGAGCAGCTGGGACTTGAACCGGCGTCCATATGGGATGCCCCTACCAATCAGCATCTTAACTGCTAGGCCAAAGGTCTGCCCCTCTTATTAGTGTCTTGATAGGTCAGTCCATACAGGGTTTCAACTTACTCTAAAATAAATAAGTAAGCAGAAAAGTGCCCAAAGCACATTAAATGAATGACTTCACTAGCAGAACTTGAATAGCACTATAAAATAATCAACATAGGTAGTGTCCAGTCCCTGTGACAGGCTGCTGGGGAACTGATGAGAGTCAAGGGGCCATTTTGTGCACTGTCACTGTGACGTCATGGTGTCTCTGAATCACAATGTTCCCATTATCTGACTCTAGACACACCGCAGAAACATCAGTGAGATCAGAGGTTGGTAGCTGCTTGCTAGACTAGAACGGACAAGTACATCACCGCAGGATGTGCAGCTGCACCCCGAGAAGCCCAGATTAAGTCCTTGTGAATCTGTTCACAGGACGCCAGCAGTGGGCCGATTCTTCACTGTGTCCTCGGTCACCTCGATCCCACCCAGGACCCCACAGCAGGTCCCATCCTGCTTCTACCTAAAGAATATATATTTGGGAGGACCGGTGCCGTGGCACAGCTGGTTAAGTTGCCACCTGCAGCATTAGCTCCCATGTGGGTGCCAGTTCAAGTCCCAGTGGCTCCACTTGTGATCCAGATCCCTGCTCATGCACCTAAGAAGCACAAGATGGCCCAAGCCCTTGGGTCCCTGCCATCCATGGGGGAGACCTGGACGAAGCTCCTGGCTCCTGGCTTCGGCCTGGCCCAGCCCTGGCTGTTGTAACCATTTGGGGGAGTGAACCAGAAGATGGAAGCTCGCTCTCTCTGTCTCTCGCTTTCTCTCTGTAACTCTTACAAATAAATACAAACATTCAAATGAATACATTTAAAAAAAAAAACTCTAAAAAAGAACATTTTTTTTTGAAAAAGGGACATTTCTCTCATTTTAAAGATTTATTCATTTCATTTATTGGAGAGATGGACAGACATTAAAAAAATCTCTCATCCACTGGTTCACTCCCCAAATGCCTGTAACAGCCAGGGCTGGGCCAGGCCAAAATCAGGAGCCCAGAGCTCCATCCGGGTCTCCCATGTGGGTGATGGGCTCAAGCCCTTGAGTCATCACTGCTGCTTCCCAGGGCGCAGTCAGCTGGGCACTGGGAGTGGACCTGGGACCAACACTCGGGCATGCTCCCATGTGGATGCAGGCATCTCAAGGGGCATCTTAACTGCTGTATCAAATGCCCACCCTGTACAGAATTTTTTTAAAAAATTTATTTTCATCTACTAGAAAGGCAGAAAAACAGAGATCTTCCACTTAATAACTCACTCCCCAAATGCCAAAGCCAGGCTGAGGCCAAGAGTGCAGAAGTCAATCCAGGTCTCTCGTGTGGGTGGCAGGAAGCTAAGTACCCCCCTGCTGCCTCCCAGGGTGCATACTAGCACGAAGCTGGATTGGGAGAGGGGCCAGGACGCAAACCCAGGCACTCTGGTATGGGATGTGGGAGTCCAAGTGGGGGTCTTAACCACTGAGCCAAATGCTTATCCCAGAATATTTTTAATAACCTATTTTTCAGCCTAAACCAGCAAGAGCCAGGTTCTCTCCTACTCTGCCTGAACAAGTCTAATCCAGAGACGCAGTGGCAGCCTCAGTGGGATCACCAACAGGGAGACAGGTGTGGGTGTCTCCTGAGAAGGTGGGGCTGGGTAGAACTAGAGTTTTATATTTATATATAAATATGTATTTCTATTTCTCTACTTTTATGACTTTTTAATGAAATGCATGGATCACTTTTACAATTAGGTAAGTCGATCATGACAGATAGAAAGGGTGGTGTCCTGGATTTCCAATATGAGGAAGTACAGGGGGATTGTGCACTGGGGAAGGCGGCCCCTGGGAGAGGGAGGCTCGGCCATGGGCGTATCACGGCGGTGAGGGCTGCTGCAGGATAGCCAGGCTCCCTTAGCCAGCAAAGTCGGGGAAGAGGAGGAAAATCGCAAAGGGTGCTACTGACGCAAGGGTGCTTCTCCAGGGTGGGGGGAACCCACAGGGCCTAGTGGCAGTTTAGCTGAGGGTAGAAAGGGTGAGGGAGAACTTTCTGAAGTTCTAACATGAAGTTAGGACCAAGTGGGTGGCATGGAGACAGGGAGAGGAGAGCCAGGGTAGACCAGGAGGCCCTGCAAGGGGTAAGCAGCCCTGGGTCCTCAGGATATTTTTGCCAGAGCAGGTGGTTGAGTTCAAGGCCCAAGACATTCCTGGCGGATGGGCCAGAGGCCATCTGAATTCTGCAGGGCGGAGTTCAAGTTCCCATCAAGGACAATTCTGGAGGAAGGCAGTTGGTTTGGGGACACGGAGCTGGTTTAGCACAGCCTGGCCGCTGCCCACCCAGGCCTCTGACTCAGCTTACTGGGGTGACAGCTGCGATGGGTGATGGAGGGCCAACAGACGGAGGGACTGACCACTTCCAGAGGGCTCCTTGGCCCTGGCCCTCCCTGGTGTGCTGCCATTTATGGCTGCAGCTTCAGAGGTCTGTGACAGGGCCTCCCTCCACTCCCCTGAACGTGGGCAGAAAGCCTCTCATGCCTGTGTTTTCCTGGCTTGCACTGCTCTAGCTGGGTCAGGTCCTCCCAGGGGCAGCTGCCACTCCTGCCAGGGCGGTGCACTTCCGTCCCATTCACCCGCATGCCCTGCCCTGTTCCCAACCTTTGCCCGTGTCCCAGCTCTGCCTAAAACACTAGGGCGACTCCCACGCTCCCTGAACGGAGAGGCCACGTGCACCTTGTGCCTCGCAAAATCACACCCAGCCTGCTTTCCCGTGGGGCCCTGCCATTGTTTCCCAGGGACTCACTCACATCACTCTCTGCAGCTCCAGGGTGAGGGGGCTCGGCGGCCCCTTCTGCATCCTGCTGACCTAAGGACATTTCAGGTGGAAGAAACTGAGATCCTTACTCAATCCTTAACAAGGTTCTGAAAGATAGCAACAGAGTAAACAGGGGTGAAAAAGCACTCTTCCACATGGGACCATACTTCTAACAATTCAACAACAACAAAGCGACCCAGGCAGCCTCCCCTCCCCCGCCCCAGCCCTCCTCAGCTGTCTTTTAGCTTGAGCCTATGGCCCAGATTCTACAGAGAGAGCGCGCCAGCAGGTGACCCAGTGGTGGGGGAGCCAAGGACAGGAGGCAGCAGGTAGGGGAGTCGGGGTTGCAAACACACAGACCGATTGATCCATGGCTTCCTTCAACCCTTTCCAGCCCCACCCCCACCCTGTCAGGCTCCATGGGGGGGGGGGCTGCACTCTTGTCATTATTCTGCAGCTCTTTGCCCCTATTCAGCAGGCCCCAGCATAGGAGGTAATCTTTCCACCGTGGCGGGGAGGGGGATGGGGGGGAGTTGGGGCAGCCCCCAGCCCCCACCCTCAAGACCCCCACTTTAATTAAATCCACAGGTTTGTTTCACAGCTAGAACTAGACGCCCACATGTGCCTGAAGGCTGTATAAACTGGCAGCCACTGTGTCCTGCGGGTTCACGTCACAGCCCAATCCCAGGCCCCAGCCCACAGCTGGCACCCAGCGGGCCCTCGATCAGTATTTGTGGAAGCTGCCTATTCAAGCGGCACTCATCGTCACTGCCTGCTCAGAGCCCGCCTCCCCACATATCCTTGGTCTCTCGTCTTCGAAAGGCCCATGTCTTGTTCCTTTCCTGTCCATATGTCACCAACCACCAGGCCCAGACGTGGGCACCATGCCCTGGGGGACTCCTCTGTCTGCAGAAAACAAGCCCCTTCTCTGAGTGCAGTCCTTTCCTCCATCTGCCTTCCTGAGGGGGCACCCACTCCTCCCCCACCCTCCCAGTCACCTAACGTGGCCCTGCCTGGACTTCCTCCTATGGTTCAGCACCCAGAGCCTTGCATCTCCCGCTCCCACGGCTTCCCTCTGGTTCCCTTCTCCCAGGAGAGGTCAGGAAAACAGGCTCAGTTTCTACCCTTCCCCCTTCACTCAGCAAAGACCAGACACTGCAGCTGACGGATGTGTCTCCATCCCCACATCCTTCCTGGAGGGGCGTGGAGGCCCCCGAGATCACCGTCCCCACCTTTTATCAACGGAAGAGGCGAGACGAAAGAGGCGATGGACGCTGGGCCTGGAGCCAAGGGCATCTAATTATGCACACAGGGCCAAAGCCAGCAGGCAGTCCTCTCGCCCTGCTCCCAGGCCACGGTAGGAACCTGAGCAGTCGCTCCACGGGAGAGGGCGACCCCTGGCGGTCACGAGGAGCGTGGCGGCATGTGGCTCAGTCCCAGAACTGAGGGTGACAGGAAGCAGCCTGGCCAGCAGGGAGATAGAGGCCCTTCGGGGAAAGAATTTAACCTTTGCTGCACCCTTCCCCACAGCCACATTCCCTGTACTGACCTACTTACACTGTCTCATGGCTGCAGCCTGTGCTCTAGATCTTCAGGAAAAAGGGGTAAGCGTTCCACGGCTCTTGGACATCACAAGTCACAGGAGCTCTTTTTGATTCAGGAGAATGGTGCTCTGAGCCCTGGAATGCAGATCGCTTTTAACTGCTAAGATTCCTAGTAGTTGTTAAAGAGCCCGGGTAATGCGGCAATGGCCGTCCCCAGGTTTCTATGGTAGCTATCTCTCATCTCAGTCAAGTGCTGGCTGCCTTAACAGAAATAGTCAGAAAAACAAGCCTTCAAGAACTCCCTGGGCAGTCATAGGCCCTTTGGAGACCACCCCTGCTAACCAAGAGTATCAGCAATCTGCTCCGACGACCCCCTCTGCAGCCGCGTCTAATTGTTTCGGGATTAAACGGAACACGTTTAGGATGTAGCTGGTCTCGACCTAGGCACGAGGGAAAGCTCGGGCTTTTGAGCCACAGCCGTAGCTCCCCGGGCCAGGTGCTTTCCTATACCCCCTTGGTGAGCAGGGATGCAACAGTGTATGCCCCACCAGGAAGTGCAGAAGCTGAAAAGGGGTTGGAGACAAAGTCCAATGTGTTCCCGGGCCACTGTGGTGTCACTGCTCCTGATAGGAATGTAACCTGAGTCCCCACCTGGGAGCCAGAAATCAGCTGAGACGAGGCCTCGGGAGAGGCTGCCCTGGCCCGAAGGGTGTGGATGAAGCGGGGGCCTCGGCACGGCGCATCCCACCGAACAGGCCGACTTGCACCTAAGGGTTTGGGTAAGTCCCTTCCGGGGCGCCTCCGAGGCTCCTGGGGCAGCCTGGGAAGATGCGCAAGAGTCGGACACCTGGCCTTAAGGTGTGAGCAGGGCGCTCCGAGACAGGGCGCCGCGGCAGAGTGCCGGCAGCCCCCCAACCCATCACCGTGGCTCGGCCCGGGAAAGCTGACCCCTGGGCACACGCGGGCTGCCCAGGCCGGGACCAGGTCCCCAGGACTTCTCCACGAGACGTGCAGGCCGCACGGGGATCCTAACAGAGCTATTCCTGCGGCAGGGTCCAGGAAGCAGAGCTCGCTCCTGGGGATGGAGAAGGGCCTGGGAGGCTCAGTACCAAGCCCCAGCCGCCCTCCTCGGCCCCGGCGTCTTCCGGAGGGCCGGGCGGGGCTCAGGTTCACGGGAGAAGGGGTCGGGCCCGCGGCCTCAGGGTCGAGCAGCGCGTGCAGGGGTAGAGGGCCGAGTTAGCGAGGAGGGAAAAGCCGCTCCTCCACAGCCGGGAGCCCCACCGCGCGAAAAGGGACTCCCACCACGTCGGAGCCGCACCCAACGCCCGCTGCCTGCTGGGATTTGTAGTTAGTCAGGGCGGGACCAGGGCGGCCGGAGCGCTCGCGAGACGGTGCGTGCGCGTGCGTAGTGCGTGTTCTAGGAGTGCGTCCCGAGGTCCGCTCTGGCGACGCGTCCTCCGGACCTCGTCCCCGAAGGTCCTTTGCCCGCTGCCTGCTGGGATTTGTAGTTCGTAGCGGCCTGGTCCTGGACGGGACCCCGGAGGCCAAAGGCTTTTGGCGGCGCCCTTCTCATGCGTTGTTTACTCCGCGAACCCTGGATCTGGACAGATGCTTAAGGAGAGGCGCGCTCTGGCCAGTTCATCCCTTGACAAAAGCGGAGTAGGATTGGAAGGCCTGGCCCAGGCCTGGAGGGCAAAGATGGACAAGGCAACGTTCCTGAGTTCTTTCAGTGGTTTAAAATTTACTGTATTTGTTTGAAAAGCAGAGTGACAGAAAGGAGAGGAAGAGAGAGAGAGAGAGAAGGCGAGAGAGGGGGGAGGGAGTGGGGAGGGGAGGGGAGAGGAAGGGGGAGAGAGATCGTCCACCTGCTGCTTTATTTCCCAAATGCCTAGAACAGCTACAGCTGGCTCAGGACAGAGCCACGAGTCAGGAACTCCATCCAGGTCTCCCATGTGAATGGCGGAGGCCTGAGTACTTGAGAGTTTATCTGCTGCCTCCCGATCCAAAGCAGAGGGGCTGGGATGCAATGGACACTCTGATATGGGATTTGTCACCATGCCCACCCCCAGTGCAATGCTTTAGTATATTCACAGGGTTGACCATCATCACAGCCTAACTTTGGAACATTTCCATCACACCCAAAATAAACCTGTACCCACTAAGCAGTGAGCTCTGCCAGACTGCCCCCTCATCTCCTCCAGTGTCAAGCACTAATGGACTTCCTATGGACTCTTTATTCTAGATATACAGTATAAATGGAACCATACAATATGTTTTGTGTTTTGTGACTGGCTTCCTTCACTTAGTATGATATTTTTGAAACTCCTTAAGGTTGTAGCATATAATTTTTTTAAAGATTATTTATTTATTTGACAGGTAGAGTTACAGACAGTGAGAGAGAGACAGAGAGAAAGGTCTTCCTTCCGCTGGTTCACCCCCCCAATGGCCACCATGGCCGGAGCTACGCCTATCCGAAGGCAGGAGCCAGGTGTTTCCTCCTGGTCTCCCATGCGGGTACAGGGCCCAAGGACTTGGGCCATCCTCCACTGCCTTCCCGGGCCACAGCAGAGAGCTGGACTGGAAGAGGAGCAACCGGGACAGAATCCGGCGCTCCAACTGGGACTAGAACCCGGCGCCTATATGGGATTCCGGCGCCGGAGGTGGAAGATTAACCAAGTGAGCCACGGCGCCAGCCCTGTAGCATATAATATGTCTTCCACACTATTTATGCAACTTTTTGTTAGTCTATAATTGTTTGGAATGAAACTGTCACGGGAAGTGAGTGAATTCACTAGATTCAGGACTGTGGACAGAGCTAGGCTTACTGAACACACTGCACACAGACTGTGATCAGCTGTGGTAATCAGGGGTATACCTGTAGCAGCAGTCCCTTCTTAGGGTGACTGCGACCATATACTTGCATCAGAGCAGTGCCCAGGACAGCCAGAGACTGTCCATTGTCCATATGGGCCACAACCCAAGAAACACTTGTAACTGCAGTATTTCCTAGTTAGGATGGGCTTTCTGTGGCCCAAGAGATTTTCTCAGATAGGTGACTTGCATCTCTGCAAAAAACTGGGAATTTTATATATCTTAGCTTAGGGGACTCCCACCAAATGCTCTGGGGCCACCCTATACACAAAATTATTATTATTTATTTATTTGAAAGTCAGGGTTACACAGAGAGAGGACAGGCAGAGAGAGAGAGAAAGGTCTTCCATGCGATGGTTCACTCCCCAATTGGCTGCAATGGCCGGAGCTGTGCAGATCTGAAGCCAGGAGCCAGGTGCTTCTTCTGGGTCTCCCACGTGGGTGCAGGGGCCCAAGGACTTGGGCCATCTTCTGTTGCTTTCCCAGGCCATAGCAGAAAGCAGGATCAGAAGTGGAGCAGCCTGGACTTGAACCGGTGCACATATGGGATGCCGGTGCTTCAGGACAGGGC